TGCGGTCACTACAGCGTGCAGGTCTATAAGACGGCGAGGCTGCTCATGGCAGACTGCCCTGGGCACCCGTCAAACAAGTCTACGCTTGCGAACACTAGGCAAAAGGTGCGCAGAGTGAATGCAGGCAAGGACCCCCGTAGTGGGAAACCCCTGCCACCCGAGGCTCCTGTCAGCGCCGACGCAGCTGTTGACAGTGCGGCCCAGCCCAGTTGCCAGGAGGTTCTGCTTCGCGGAGGCGGTGGGACTGGGTCGGATGGGGGTGGCGGGGGAGGAATCGAATCGAGTTCTGACTAACTGTGCCGCTGCGACTTGCAGCTGCCTTTCCTTTTCCCAAGGGCCCCCCACCAGCGGGTTACGGTCCCTGGCTGACGCCTACCGCCCCCCGACGTTGTTGGGTCTTGGTGTGGTCTTGGCGGCACCTTGTGTGCGTCGGTCGGCCTGCTGGCTGGCCGTGATCGACCTATGGGTTGATCTCTCTCTCTGTGGCCTCGGGGTCCCCTGAGGCCTCTTCAATTCGGCCCTCTTCCGTTCCTATGGGTTCGGTCGGGGCAGCCGTTCCTGGACCTCCTCCTCCTCCTCCTCCTCCTCCTCCTCCTCCTCCTCCTCCTCCTCCTCCCCTCCCTCCCCCTCCTCCTCCTCCCTCCTCCCTCCCTCCTCCTCCTCCTCCCTCCTCCTCCCTCCCTCCTCCCTCCCTCCTCCCTCTCCCTCCTCCCCCTCCCTCCTCCCTCCTACCTCCTACCTCCTACCTCCTACCTTATACTTCCTACCTCCTACCTCCCCCCTCCTCTTCCTCCTCCCTCCCTCTCCCTCCTCCTCCTCCCTCCTCCTCCTCCCTCCTCCCTTCTCCTCCCTCCCTCCTCCCTCCTCCCTCCTCCCCCTCCTTCCTCCTCCCTCCTCCCTCCTCCCTCAGCCCTCTTCCTCCTCCTTCTCCCTCCTCCCTCCTCCCTCCTCCATCCCTCCCTCTCTCCCTCCCTCCCTCCCTCCTCCCTCCCTCCTTCCCTCCCTTCCTCCCTTCCTCCTCCTCCTCCTCGTCCTCGTCCTCGTCGTCCTCCTCCTCCTCCTCCTCCTCCTCCTCCTCCTCCTCCTCGTCCTCCTCCTCCTCCTCCTCCTCCTTCTCCTCCTCCTCCTCCTCCTGCTCCTCCTCCTGCTCGTCCTCCTGCTCCTCCTCTTCCTCCTCCTCTCCTCCTCCTCCTTTCCTTTTTTCAAAAATATAATGTAACAAGGAACAAAACACAGCAAACACAAAACTTTCCCCGGGCGCACCACGAGACCAGTATTTAGGGCGGGCCGGGCGTTTCGCCTGATACTTCCTCAACATGTATGACCTTGAAGCTGAGGCTTAGAAATTCACAACAGTTTCACCGATGGAGGGCGGGTCGTTCTCAAAATGTGGCTCTCGGTGTAGCGCCGCACACAATCGTTTGAAACAACTGCAAGAGCTTCACGTATTGAGGGCGCGTGGTATGCAAAATAAGGCTCTCTTCGTAGCGCCGCGCACATTCGTTTGAAAAAAAAATCACGGATTGAGGGCGGCTCCGTTTCAAAGTGTGGCTCTCGCCTTAGCGCCGCGCATATTCGTTCTCAAATTCTGCAAAGCTTCACTGATTGAGGGCGGCCCGGTTTTCAAAATGTGGCTCTCGCCTTAGCGCCGCGCATATTCGTTTTTCAAAAATTGCAAGAGCTTCACGGATTGAGGGCGGATGGCTTTCAAAATGTGACTATCGCCTTAGCGCCGCGAGAATGTTTTATGCAAGAATACACGGGATCTCATGATCGACGTGCCAGACTTGGTGTTCCGGAAGGATGCACGAGTATGAGGGCGCAGCAGTTACGATTATTGGCGGCGTTGAAGTTCCAGGAATGGCCAAGACGCAACCAGCTTGATCCGTGGCGTTGGAATCCCGAGAACAATGTTTTGGCATGCTTCTGGGTCTTCAAATGGTTGTACGAGGCAGGTCCCTCTGTGGAAATGAACCGTTATAAGGAGCCTATGAAGAGGGAGCTTGAGGGGAAGGTTTATTCCAACCTCGTTGGTGACTCTTGGGTTTACACTGGTCCTCCTCCTTCTCCTCCTCCTCCTCCTCCTCCTCCTCCGCCTCCGCCTCCTCCTCCTCCTCCTCCTTCTCCTCCTCCTCTCCCCGCTCCCCGCTCCACTCCCCGCGTCCTGCTCCGCGGGGCGCCTGCGGTGACGGAGGGCCAGCGGCGGCGGTGGGCGGGTTGGCGTGGTGGCGGGGTTGGGCTGGTTGGGCTGCTTGGCAGGTTTGAGGGGGGGCTGGTTGGACTGCTTGGCAAATTTGAGGGCGGGCTGCGGCGGGCTGGTTGGGCTGGTTGGGCCGGCTGGTGTGCTGGCTAGGGCGATTAGCTTCGACGGCGTCTGGGGGCCCTTCGTTCACAGACACTGGGGGCCTAAAAGGTGATAACAGTTTCGAGAATGGGAGCTTTCCCGTCGAGAGCTCGGATGTTGGGAAGTGCAGAAAGTGACGACAACATTCGGGGCCTCCGGCCGTCCTCGGGGCGCCCCCCAAGAGGCCGGTCCCCCCATGGTACGGTGCGATTTGGCCCCCTCGGCTGCCAGCCTGGTCCCAAAAAGGCGATTCACAACCGCTTCGGCTGGGTAAGAAGAACTTCCTCCCCCTAGGTGGTGACAGAGGGCAGGCGACGGAGGCAGGCGGGTTGGCGTGGTGGCGGGTTGGGCTGGTTGGGCTGCTTAGCGGGGCTGGCCGGGCTGGCTGGTGTGCTGGATGGGGCAATTTGTTTTGACCTGCAGCTGCCGTGATGGCCCAAGGTGGCCACGATGGCTCCAAATGTCGCGACTTTGCCGCCGAGAAGACGCAAGATGGCCCACGTCGGGCCAAGATGGCCTCCGCAGCGACCCCAACTCGAGGCGATCATTGGGCCGTCGGGTGCTGTGGAGCGAAGCCAAAACCACAGAAGCGCTCGAAATTGTTCCCCCAAAAATATGGCAAGTTCGCGTCGTGACGACTGGAGCGTTGGCTTCTCACGCCGCGTGGATCGCTCAGCCTTGCACGACCGCGGCTCTCCGAGAGAGCAGACCATTCGATATCGGCCCATTCTGGGACACTGGCCGCGTCGACCTTGAACGCCCGCGCTTGGGTCGCCGCTGCGTCGACACGACACGAACCTGTCACAGGCCTCGCCCGAAACGTACCCACTTCCCGTGGCCCGTGGTCACAACTTGTCCTGGCCATGGGCCTCCATAGGGGGGATCGCCCTGGCGCCCAGCGCCCGGGGCAACCCCGGGGGCACCCCAGGGGGACACACGGGGCGCCGTGGCTTTGCAATGCGACGCAGTGCAGTGCTGTGTCACGCCCCCAGGCTACATGCAAGAGCGCCCCCAGGCAAGAGTTACCTCTGGTGATCGGCTTCAAGAGGCCACCAAGGGGCGAAATCCAGGCGCACCAGCCAGAGCTGGGGGGACCACTGTGGGCCCACACCAGGTCACTCCTTGCGAAGAGGCACTCATACGTGCAGACGAGACGTGCTGTGAAGTGCTGCGCGTTGCTGTCTGGGTGGTCCACCTTCGCGAATCGCGCCCCGCGATGCGCAGGGCCCTGTCATCTTCGCGCCGTCACAGGACTACGCCGGAGAAGAGTAGCCCTCCCGCCAGGGCGGGCTGCGACGCGCGAAGCACGATTACGTACCTTTGTGCCCCCAGGCCCTGGGGGCGGCCTGGGCTGTACCATGTAGGGACGCGCATGTCGGCCAGGCAGACATCCAGCGCTGGACGCCGTCGGGGCAGGCGCCAACACCCGTGCCGCAAGGCCCTCGCGGAGCTGCTGGCCCACCAGCTCCTGCCGCGCCGCTGCCGCCAGGCGCGAAGGGATGGGCCTGGACCGCGCACCGGCGTGGCTCTGGCACCAGCAGCTTGCGGGCAACGGAGCATCTGCGCCTCGGCTCGTCCGTACCCGTTGAGCGGAACAGCTTCGCCGGGCGACTGATGTTCGTCATCTGGATGTGCCTTCGCAGGGGCCGTGAAACATGGCTCCACTCGTGCCGCGCAGGAGAGACTCGCGTCCAGGTTGGCCCCATCTGAGCCGGAGCGCCACGCCCATGTAGGCCTTTATCACCTCGTTCGGGCACCGCGCCAAAAAGGCATCTGCCAGAGTAGGACGGGTAATTTCCGTACAGCGCTGGCCTCCGTCCTACCACGACTACCATTCAATGGCGGCTTGCGGCGGAGGCGTCAAAGGCGAAGGGCAAGCAAACCGTGGGCACCCTGACCCATCTTGCGTGCGCAGCCATATCCCATCCCCCATCGTGAGCACGTCGGCGCAGCCCCCAGAGTTCTACTCGTGACCTGGCTGGTTCCATTGAAACCCAAGCAGCTAGGCCGCGGATCCCACAAAGCCGAGCACCGGTCGGAACGCGCAGGCCGAAAGCGTGTGAATATCCAGAACCTGCCAGAACGCTTCCCAGGCTGGGGAGCCCCAGGCTACCTTCCAGAACGCTTTCCAGGCCGGATGGGGCGCCCAAGGGCAAAGCAGTAGAAGCGGAATGAGTCAAACCGCAGCTGCGGGCAGGCTGTGGCGGCGCGGCCGCAGCCACCGCAACTGGCGAGCAACTGGCGGCGCGGCGGCAGCACTGCAACTGGCCATAGTCAATGGAGCTGAAGATAGATAGAATGGCAGCAGGGAGGATGGACTCTGGATTTTAGTCTGGACCGCACACTGCTGCTGATGCAACGACGGGTGAAGAAGGGGGGCAACTACAAATAATCATAAATATTCACCTGAAGCGCCACATGGTTCATGGACCAAGCTGCAGGACGCCCGATGGTTGAGGGGTCAAACTACAGGACGCCTCGGATTGGGACGTCACCCGACCAGAACAGATACAGGTTTCGCTCCTGTGAGCTCCCGCACCAGATCTGGAGCCATCCGAAGGGCGCTCCGAGCCCAAGCATGGCCTTCAGAATGACGAAATCCCACCCGACGACAAATCCCGAAGTCTTGCTCCCCAGCGGCAGGCGCTGGAGACCCTCAGAACTCGCCAGTGCACCCTCTCCTCCAGCGCGGCACGCAGAAGAAGTTCCACCAGTTGGTTTTGAAGCCTTTATCGAACTCGTTCCTGCTCGGGTCGTAGAGGGTCGTCGGCAGATCTATCTTGTTGTAGTCCTCAGGATCCAGGTTCACAACCAGGGCGTTGATCAGCTCCTCCGACCGCTCGCGGTCAAGGTCCTCAATGAACACTGGCTCCGCGTCGGGATTCTCCCGCCAGACGGTCTTCCCACTGACGCGATAGAAGGTATCCTCCTTCCAATCTGAACTCAGCTCGCTGCGGCCTATGAATCCCAAGTGCAACTTCAGGATGTGCCCTCCAAAATAGCAGACCACGGCGGCATAGGCTGCGTGGATCAATACGAACAGATGTACACAGGGACCTCCAACGCCGCCGTCGCTTTGCGCGATGTCCACCACGATAATGACCACATCCAAAAACAGAGCAAGGCCATTTGAGGCTGCGAGAGCGCACAGCATCAGGAAGAATTCCCTGAGGGCGGCGGAATACAATGAGTCGGATGCATGAAGACGTACCGACCTCTCGCGATGGCTTATGCAGGCTGCTACTGCCGCATACAATGAAGAAAATAGGGCGCCCACGCCTGCAGATTACGCGCGAATGTCCGCTTAGCCACCACCCTCTTTCTAAGTCGCTCCTGTGGTTGAGGAGCCCGATGCTGCACCCGAGCCACCGACAGTAGTGATCGTAGCGGCGAATAGGACGCTCGTGTGTCCACGCTTTGTGAGCTCGCAGGGGTAGGTCGCACTCCGAGTGGCTCACCTGCCCGGGGTCCACCAGC